CATATTGGAATGCTCTTTGTCTGGATTAAGAATTATAAGTAATTGAGTCATTTATAGGGAAAACTCCTTGCAAAGCTGGGTTTCGTTAATATGTCAGGCAAAGCTGGATTCCCACGCTAGCTTTAATCTATTGGTTAAACCAATGAGAGTTGAAGTAATGATAGGGAGAGGTTTTACTATATTTAACTGTGACGTATTAGGACAGCCTAGAAACTGGTCCTATTGTTGACAAACAATAATTAGAAAAATAAGGAAACCCTTCTTCTATGTATATATTATACTTTGTTTGTCTGTCTGTTTGTCTGTTTCCAAATACAAAACCTTTTGAGGCAATTCACGTGACCCCAGGTCAGGTTTATGAATGCTTAGAATTACAAAAATTTGTCTCTTCTAATTTTTTTTAATTTTGTAAAAGTTTGAAAATCCACGAACTATTTTTGCTATTATTTTATTTTGTACAAAGAGAAGATATTTACAGATGTTCACAATTAATAACTTTTTATAACACTGTTGTTTTGGTTCGCAGTGTTATAAAGTTTTATAAAGGACAGAAATTTTCTCTTTATCGAGAAGGTTTAAGTCTTTTTAGATTTAATTTTGCCGCTTTAGCGAGGTACACAATATAACCTTCAAGATATATAGAAAATTTAAGTCCAACAACTTTATAGCACGTCGTGCCAAAATAATAGTGTTATAGGTAATTTTATGAAACGTTCGTGTACTTGTCTTATTTCAATTTCTATTTCTAGATCAAATAAGCTTTTAAACAAAGCAGAAGTCAAAGTATAAAGTTGATTCCATTTATTTTTATTTTAATGGGAAAACATATTTTGGAAATATGCTAATTTTTTTTGAGAAAAGAATGATAAAGTACAGTTTCATGAAAGTTAAAAAGAAGATAAGCTCAAAGCGCCCTAAAAGCATAGCTTTATAAATTTGGCTTGTCTGTCTGTATCAATTTAACGTCAAAACTGTGGAACTGATAATTTTAACTCACTTTGAAACTCGACTAAAACTCCACTTCTGGGATGTAAAAGTGAAGTTAAACCACTTTAACTCGAGTCTCTATTTCCTGTGATGAGAAGATCTACAAGTGTATTTTAAATCTTGATGATATTATAACTTATGAATAAAATAATTCGAAAATAACTAACCATCGCAAGACCATCTGGATTGCAAATTATTGATAAAAAAATCTTACTTTTTGTTTCTGTTTTCGCCCTGTAAATTTCAGACTTTAAATGTTTACATCAAAATTAAACAGAGATGCTGTCTATCTCAAAAGGTACCCAACTGCCTCCTCCCCCCCCCCCCCTCCCACCATCTTTACCTCTATCTGGATGAAAAATGAGGTGGAATGACTATTTTGACTGAGTGTAGAATGTTGTATGTTTATATATGGTTGGATATATTTAGATTTGAAATACCAGGGGAGGAGGGGGGAGGAGGGAGAGAAGGAGGGGGATGATACGGTAGAGAAGCAGGGGGAGGGAGGGAGAGAAAGAGTAATGATATTTACAATATTTATGTTTCATCTCAGTTTAACAAATGTTTAAAGAATCCCGGGGGTAAAAACTGATCGAAGGATCCCGGGATGTAATTGTATCAGGGCCCCCAGGGAGAATTGTAGTAGGAACCTACAGGTAGAATTATTAAAGTGCCCCGGGAGAACTATTGTAGGAACCTATAGGTAGAATTATTAAAGGGCACCCAGGGAGAGGAACCTACATTTAGAATTATTAAAGGGCCCCCGGGGAGAATTATTGTAGGAACCTACAGGTAGAATTATTAAAGGCCCTCAGGGAGAATTAGTGTAGGAACCTTCAGGTAGAATTATTAAAAGGCCCTCAGGGAGAATTGTAGCAGGAACCTACAGGTAGAATTATTAAAAGGCCCCGGGAGAATTATTGTAGGAACCTTGAGGTAGAATTATTATAGGGCCCTTAGGGAGAATTATTGTAGGAACCTTCAGGTAGAATTATTATAAGGCCCCCGAGGAGAATTGTTGTAAGAAGATATTGGAAGAATTATTAAAGGGCCCCCGGGGAGAATTATTGCAGGAACCTACAGGTAGAATTATTAAAGTGCCCCGGGAGAACTATTGTAGGAACCTATAGGTAGAATTATTAAAGGGCACCCAGGGAGAGGAACCTACATTTAGAATTATTAAAGGGCCCCCGGGGAGAATTATTGAAGGAACCTACAGGTGGAATAATTAAGGGTCCCGGGAGAATTATTGTAGGAACCTACAGTAGAATACTTAAAGGGCTCGCAAGTAAAATTCCTAAAGGAACCCCCCGAGTAAAATTCTCAAAGGGCCCCCTGGCTGAATGTTAAGTAACCATGAATCTGTGAAAGGGTTGACTAATTTTACGCCTCTCTACCTATACCAATGAAACCTGTATAAGGAAATTATAAATAATAAAACCAGCGGTATCCATCTCTTATATCCAGGGAAATACAATAAACATGGAATTTCAGTGAGGAATTCTAATCCCCATGTGCAGGTTAAAAGATTTAACATCTTTTCAGTGTAACTCATTGTTTATAAAATGAAGAAACAAATTTTAAATGTGATCGAGAGGAAACTAGGAAACGTAATTTCAAGTTGATCCCCATTTATGTATTGGCATGTCCAGTTCACAATGGTACCCAGAACATTTTAGTCTGATCAAGAAGGCATGAAATATCTTGATCTTTTCTTTAAAAATTGATTATTTTCCAATGTGGTTTCTATATGAAAGTGACTTTTGCACTTCTGCTTAAGATATTTTAAGGTTTAAAGGGTACCGTCGTGAATTGGGTCCTTTCTCTAAATGGAAAGCCACTTGAAATTACAACAACAGTCCCTTTAAACGTGAAATAAGAAAATCAAATTAATATTAGGAAATTGGAACTAGAAACTATAATGTTATAAAATTAGATAACTTTAGATAATATTAGGAAGTTTAGAACTAGAAACTATAATGTTGCAAAATTAGGTAACTTTAGATAATATTAGGAAGTTTGAAACTAGATACTTTAATGTTGTAAAATTAGATAACTTTAGATAATATTAGGAAATTTGGAACTAGATACTTTAATGTTGTAAAATTAGATAACTTTAGATAATATTAGGAAGTTTGGAACTAGATACTTTAACGTTGTAAAATTAGGTAACTTTAGATAATATTAAGAAATTTGGAACTAGAAACTATAATGTTGTAAAATTAGGTAACTTTAGATAATATTAGGAAGTTTGAAACTAGAAACTATAATGTTGTAAAGTTAGGTAACTTTAGATAATATTAGGAAGTTTGGAACTAGATACTTTAACGTTGTAAAATTTGGTAACTTTAGATAATATTAGGAAGCTAAAAACTAGAATAATTATAGAAGCCAGAAACAAGAAAACTGGAGTAATAGACATGAAGCTAGAAAAATTAAATATTATGAAATTAGGCAACCTTATACAATTTAAAGAACCTAGATTCAAGCTAGGAAAATAAAATATTATGAAATTAGGCAACCTTATACAATTTAAAGAACCTAGAATCAAGCTAGGAAAATAAAATATGAAATTAGGCAACCTTATACAATTTAAAGAACCTAGATTCAAGCTAGGAAAATAAAATATTATGAAATTAGGCAACCTTATACAATTTAAAGAACCTAGAATCAAGCTAGGAAAATAAAATATGAAATTAGGCAACCTTATACAATTTGAAGAACCTAGAATCAAGCTAGAAAAATAAAATATTATGAAATTAGGCAACCTTATACAATTTAAAGAACCTAGAATCAAGCTAGGAAAGCTAGAGCTTTAAACATCAAACTAAAAAAGTGTCAAAAAAATAAAATTCTAGATTAATAGAGTTGTGTTAAAACCCTTATTTATAAATAAGATTAAAGACCACGTAAACATGTTAGTTGAGCTGACAGTGTAGTTGTGTAAAGAAATAATCCTTTAAACAGTATCTTCAATCATGCACTCTCAGTTCAACTACGAAGTCTACGCTGTCACTCCCTTTAATGTTAGAAGCAAAGAATAAGAATTTTAGGAAAAAAAGAAAACTGAAGTGTTAAAAAACTTAATTATAAACTGCACTACTATGTATACTTCAATGAAAACCATAAAACTGTGGAATAGGAAGATTATATGTAACAGTGCACAACTTTTATGTTTCATGAATATTGAAAATCAAAAGTTTGGATTAGTAGTCCAACTAAACTAAGATATTGTATATCTGTAAGCTAAACTCAATGTTGTATACTTTAAATATATAAAGAAGTATGCTGAATTTAAACATATTATAAAGAATTTACTATTTATATGTCCATTATTACATATTGGTCTACTGTGGTGCACTGGTCAGAAACATGCGCGTACATCGAACAAAACTTTAAATGTTCTCTAACCGAATAAAGATCTATAAATATTAAATTCAAATTATTGTGACAGTTTGAAGGTAAATTTTTAAGAAGTATTTCGTATTATTTGAAAAAATCGATTCAAGCCTAGTGATATAAAATCCTGTGCCTTATGAAATATGGGTAATCAAAACCAATAGGCTCATAGCATCATACCATATCTTCAAGATAATAGTACTTGGTCAGGATACAGGGATACCAGGATACAGGGATACCAGGATACCAGGATACCAGGATACCAGGATACCAGGATACCAGGATACCAGGATACCAGGATACCAGGATACCAGGATACCAGGATACCAGGATAACAGTATTTTGTCTAGGTTTTATTAAAAATATTCCTTTTCAAACTATCTATCTAATCTATAAAAATATTTTTGATTTTGATTATTTTATTATTGAATCAAATTACTTGGAACAAAAACAGTTTTGATATTTCGATCAAAAAAATAAATGTGCTCTAAATTTAAGTTTTTTAACACGTTTACAGATATTCAACAAATCATTCATCCTTTTAAATGATCACCTTGTAAACGTTCCTTTCTTCTGAAAATATTGTTCACACGGTAAGCTGACTGTTGAAGTTGTATCAAATAACGCGAACAATGCTTCTTTTGTGTTTCTTTTAAGAAGAATTTTCAGTAGTTTGCTCTTCACTACACTATATACATGTACAGTAGTTTATCCTTTACTACACTATATACATGTACAGTAGTTTATCCTTCACGACACTATATACATGTACAGTAATTTATCCTTCACGACACTATATACATGTACAGTAGTTTATTCTTTACTATATACATGTACAGTAGTTTATTCTTTACTATATACATGTACAGTAGTTTATTCTTTACTATATACATGTACAATAGTTTATTCTTTACTATGTACAGGGTGAGTCAAAAAAAAGTGTGATTAGCGGTGCCTGATGCAACCTTTTTTATGCAACTCTCTAATAAGTGTTTTTGGAAATTTTTTATTTTTTTTGCTACTCCTATGGTCAAAAAATAGGCTTAGAAAAGCAAAATTGTGTATATAAATTACTTCTATCAAATTCTAAAATTTTATAAAGATTGAATGACAGAATCACAGAAAGTTTGAAAACTTTTGATAAGAAAATTCGCAATTTTCAGTTCTGGTCTTATTTTTAACAGAAGTCATAGTTTCAAATATCTACGGTCTTCAACATTGGGTTGTTAAGAAAGAGTTTGTGGCAAAGACTTAATTCCTTTTCTGTGATTCTGTCATTCAATCTTTATAAAAAAAAATTTTATAAAAAATGAGATTACCAAAAAATGCTTTATTATTTGGGATATCTCGCTATTCACTTTTTTATACTCACCCTGTATGTACACTTCACAATATACATATACAGTAATTTACTCTTTACTATATTCATATAGAGTTTACTCTTCATAAAATATATGTACAGTAGTGTACTCTTCCCTATACACATGTACATTAGTTCACACTTCAGATACACATGTACAGTAGTTCAATGCACAGTTCAACGCACACATGTACAGTAGTGTAAACTTCACAATACACACATGTTACATTGCTCAGTGGTTTTGTACTGTACTCTAAATGTGCAAAAGTTTACACTTTACTTTATATTATTACTTTACAAATTAAATAAATAACTTTGTATTTTTGTGATAAAATGTTTTATCAAAACAAATTCGACAAGAGAAACTTAATATTTCTTGTATTTTCTTTAATATTGGACTTTTTGTTGACACTTCATATATATAATATGAACTCAATATGTGACATCTGTCAAAATTATATTATCTTCACATGTCGACACATATATCATCTTCGTTATTTTTAATAGTCTAAAAAACTTTGAGATAAGAAAGTTTCGAAAACATGATAATAACTTTTTCATTGTTATTAAAACGTACTCCATATTGAATTTGATTAGACAAAAGTGAAAAGGCTTCAAATTACTTATTGTTATTATCTTTTCTTTAAAATGTATTGTCTTTAAGTGTATTTCATTAATTTTCAATAAAAAACCCTTTAGTGCTGTTGATAGATAAAGTACCATTTCTAAACAGTAAAAAGATCAAAAGTATTTTTCTCATATTTAATTTCTGAAAAATTAAGTTTTAACGTTTTATATTCATAAATTTTCCTGAAGGAGTTCGAATAAAAAGAAAAAATTAAATACGCAAATTGAAAATTTTAAAAATGCACTTATAAGTTGTTTGTTTGATCGTGTGTCTGTGTTTTACAGGTTTAAGCACTGCTCAATGCTTGTGTTTTTTTGTCCAGGATCTAAAAATTTGAATTTCCGGAATTTAAAAAAAATTTGAAAGGAATTGATTTTTTGTCCCGAACTCTGATTTTCTTTGCCACCTGAAGTCGTAGACCTTAAATATTTTAAACTAATAATTATGTTTGATCAAATAAACTTCTTAGTTTAAAGTATCCAATGTTTAAACCATGAGGTTCCAAAGATATATGGATTCGCTAATTTGAATTTGTGGCAAAGAATAAATTCCTTTGGTGGCAAATTATATAACATAACGAACAAAACGAGGGCATCGACTGGAAGAAAAGCTGATTATTGATTCAGGAAATTTACTTTTGATAATTGTTTACTCCTAATACCTAGGTTGAGTAAAATGCTGAAATGTTTAATAAGTCTTGCACTAACTAATCTTTATGTTCAAGCACAATCAGAAGGTAATTGGATCTTTTTTTTACTCAGAGAGGTAGACGATTATATCAATTCAATGAAGACAGCTTTCGATTTCAATTTTGATCAAGCTGTTAAACAGCTTGATAGCACATAGAAATCAAAAGAAGCTGTAAAGCCGTCTCTTTGATTACTTGTAAACTTGGAATTCGAAAAAAGCGTTTTAACAATCAAAACTTAATTTAAAAAGTTGTCTTCATTGTATTAATATAATCGCCTACCACTGTATAACACACATTTTTTGTTAAGTGACAAGTAAATATAAGAAAAAGAAATACACTTTTTTATCTAATTTCAAGAAAAGTTTCTGTGCACAGCTTCTTTTTCTTTAGAATTATTGAAAAAAAAAAATGTTTAGAAAGTTAGATTTTTTGGCTCTTGAGTATAAAATACATACTTATGTAGTTAATGCAGTTGTGAATTCGTTCCAGTAATTACGCATGAAGTAAATATGTTTAGATTAGTTTACTGTAGAGTTTTGTTTACATTTTTTTGTCGTCGTTCTTTAATAATTTTAAAAAATCCGATTCTGAAAACGTATCCAGTATCCACCCCCAAAGTAGGATTTTTGAACGTCGAATTTTCGCTCAAACTCAGGATTTACAGATCTCTGAAAAGTTTAATATGTCTCAAATGAATCTTTAAGAAGCTTTACACATTACTGCATACTCAGTTCAACTACCTTACATAGCCGGTCTGTCCCTTTAATTGAAGGATTGCCTAGAATTTCGTGGACAATCCCCTTTGGGAAATAGTACAGTGGTGGGTAATTATATCAATACAACGAAGGCGGCTTCTTATTAATAATGCTTTGATTCCTAACAAGCATTTTGCAAATAACTAGTTTACAAGTAAACGAAGAGAATCTGTTAAAGGTAGGTTCTCTTTGTTTACATGTTTATGTGCCTCTATTATTCAAAAGATTGGTAGAAATCAAAATTGAGATAGAAAGTCGTCTTTACTGTATTGATATATACAAAGACGACTGAAGAATAATATATTTTATTTTGTTGTAGATGTAAAATTTGTGATCTGGACTGACGTGGAGGAATCAACTTTACTGTATTGATATTTACAAGGACGACTGAAGAATAATATATTTTATTATGTTGTAGATGTAAAACATGTAATCTGGACTGACGTGGAGGAATCAACTTTACTGGACGAAAGTTTACACAAGGTGGCCTTCAGGTCATTAAACATACAGTAGGACCCATACAACTGTGGACGAGTAAGACGACTGCTAGACTTGATTAATGATTTTAAACAATCCTATATGAACAGTAAGCACTGCAACTATGCAGTGTGCACAGACCTACTTCAAGAAATTAGCTGATTTTTCAACTGCTCATAATATCATTTCCCATAAAACAGCATCAAAAACTTTTCCATTTTGAAAAAAAATTAGCCAATGTTACCCCCAGGATGCCCATTGGTTCCCTCAAAAAAATTTCAGCCATTTTGGTCGAGCAATTTGGCCAGCAATAGCGAACATATAAATATATTATATAGATTAAAAATTAAAGACTTATTGAAAACTCGATTTTTCCTAAAACTTTCTACTCTTATTTAGCTTATATATAATTTTAGATTTTAAATATTACTTTGCTCTTTTATCATACAGGGTGGCCAAATAAACAAGGGAGGTAAGTGACGACTTCTGTTTTGTCTCTGTTTCGTGTGCCATATTAAAAAAACTAAATTTTAGTAGTATTCCAGAACATCTAGTTAAAACATTAATAGTGATTAAAATTCCAAAGTTTGGTTTAACATTTTTGCATCTTCAAAATTGACAGAAATAAAGAAATCTGTTCAAGATTCTTATTAATTAAACTAAAACTAAATCTTAAAAGTCTCTGTCAATTTTGAAGATACAAAGACGGCAGACCACATTTTCAGAAGCCTATAAAACGCCCACTCTTTATTATGACAAACTCTTTGTCATTCATTTCAAATCAAAGACGATTTTCAAGTCGTCTCTTAATTCCCATGTTTATTGGGACACCTTGTACTATATAAGGGATGTTGTACTAGATAAACTACTGTACTGTCCTGTACTATATTAGGGATGTTGTACTAGATAAACTAGTGTACTGTACTGTACTGTATCTAGGGATGTTGTACTAGAAAAGCTGTTGACCAGATTAATAAATAGCCTTCTAGAGAACTCTAGAAGAGGACCAGAATTCTCAAGGAAAACTCAAAAAGAAACAAATAAAAAAGTTTTAAAACAACCATCTGACGTAAGCCATATATAGCTAGTCAGACAAATACTTTGCTAGTCTGTCTGTTTATCCTAAAGGAATTGTCGACATTAATTTTTTTCTGAAAATGCACCAATTTCAGAGGAAAAATCTACGAAAACATGAGCTTTACACGGACCATTATAATTTTACCTGTTTTCCACAGATATTAAGCCATCTATCAGTGTGACCGTGCATTTATGTACTTTGAACCAGCCTGGATATCTTTGTACTAAATAGCCTTGATTAGATTATTCCTTTTTGAGCAAAAAATCGTTAAAGACATTTTTGATCATGTTTTTCCTCTACTTATCTTGTATTCTGTTTACAACGTACATTGGTCTTTCTCTAAATTAATCTGTTTCTTGATCAAGTTTGCGTCTAAATTCATTGAATTAAATCTGTTTGAAGTATAGTATGCCATCTGCCCTCCTCATTCCTGATCCTTTGTGTATTCCAAACATTAACTTACAGAAAGCAAAATCTGGAGTGTTCGATATCAATTTTCAGGTAGGAGTTACAGGGATACAGTGAAACCCATAAAACTGTGGAATAGCAGGACGACATTTAAGCATGAAGAATTCAATTTATTTTTTGAAATGGGTGTGTGTACACTTGACAATTGCTGTGTTTTTGTTTATTTGACTATTTAGAATCATTACTTGAGTCTGACAGTTGTTTTCATATTCTACAATGTTATGGGTCTCACCGTAATTCATTTCAATATCAGTCTATGTACATTAGACATTGTACATTATGTACAATGATGGAACAAATACAAACATTAAAAGTTGTTATTTTGATTGGTGAGGTTTGTAGACCAGCCCAGCCATCTGGCCTTGCTGTATTTTGGATGTGAATTGCATATATCATAACGCATTTAAAGAGACTATAGAGACCGTAGAGACTGAAGAGACTGTAGAGACTGTAGAGACTGTAGAGACTGTAGAGACTGAAGAGACCGTAAAGACTGTAGAGACTGTAAAGACTGTAGAGACTGTAGAGACTGTAAAGACTGTAGAGACTGTAGAGACTGTAGGCTTAATTTCAAGAGACTTTCAATTAATAAACTAGCATGTCCGATTCACAATGGTGCCGGCCTTCAAATCTCTCTCTTAGTATTAATACATTCTTTGTAGCATAAATCAGAAAGTCACTTTCACAAAAAATAATCTGAAATCTGAAATAATCAATTTTCCGAAAGAAAAAAAGGATATCTCATTCTCATTCTTGAGCAGAAATGACGTGCGAGTGCGACTACTCATTACTTGGCATTACGTCTACAGTTCCTTAACATTTTGCTCACTTATTGGGTTTCTTAGCCGTAGCAAATGGCACAAAAACTAAATCATAAATACAATATATATAATATGTAGTTCAAAAATAATATGTTGAAATCAATTTATTATAATAATTAATATATATGTTTAGGGTTGGAATCTAAAAATTACAGGACTTCACACAACAAAAATAAAAAATCTACATGTGGTCAGACATCTTGGTCTTCAGGATATCAGGGTAAAGACGACTTTTAAAGAAATTTTTGTCTGAAGCAATATCATCTGTTAGGTGTTCTACCTCAGATCTTTTTAAATCCTGTAATGCGCCAAAAAAAGGATAAAAGGGAAAATTAAATGGAAAGCTGTGTAAAGTACATGCAACGAATTACTGTGAGAAATCCTGCATATGTACGGTGATGATATTGGGGGGGGGGGGGGGNGGGGATGCCAACTCTGTTTCATGCTTTGTACATAATATGTAATATATTAAAGTATGTGTACATAATTATTTGTATATTCATGTAATAGTACACTATATTCAGGAAGCTGTACATAATATTTTGTATATTTAGGAAGTTGTACATAATAATTTGTTTATGCAGGAAGTTGTACATAACATTTTGTATATTCAGGAAGCTGTACATAGCATTCTGTGTAATCAGAAAGTTGTACATAATATTTTGTATATTTAGGCAGTTGTACAGCTGGTAACTGACCTGAATATTGAAGGTATTTACAACCTGACCGGCACAGGACTCTCTCTCCTTCCTCTCTACGGAAGCGGAGCTTTAAATGTTAAGGTAAAAAAACATTTGCTTTTTAAAAAGGCAAATTAAATGCAGTGTATTATTTAAAATGGGTTTAAAGTTTGATAATCATAATGATAACATATTTAATTGGAGACCCCGCCATAGTTCGATTGAGACTTTCAATATCTCATTGGATACCCTTCACGTCTCATTGGATACCCTTCACGTCTCATTGGAGACCCTTCACTTCTCATCGGAGACCCTTCACTTCTCATCGGAGACCCTTCACTTCTCATTAGTGAACTTTCACGTCTCATTGGAGACCCTCCACTTCTCATTGGAGACCCTTCACTTCTCATTGGAGACCCTTCCCGTCTCATTGGAGACCCTTCACTTCTCTTCGGAGACCCTTCACTTCTCATCGGATACCCTTCACGTCTCATTGGAGACCCTTCACGTCTCATTGCAGACTCTTCACTTTTCATTGGAGACCCTTCACTTCTCATCGGAGACCCTTCACGTCTCATCGGAGACCCTTCACGTCTCATTGGAGACCCTTCACTTCTCATAAGAGACCCTTCACTTCTCATCGGAGACCCTTCACGTCTCATTGGAGACCCTTCACTTCTCATAAGAGACCCTTCACTTCTCATCGGAGACCCCTCACGTCTCATTGGAGACCCTTCACTTCTCATCGGAGACCCTTTACTTCTCATCGGAGACCCTTCACGTCTCTTTGGAGACCCTTCACGTCTCATTGGTGACCCTTCACGTCTCATCGGAGACCCTTCACGTCTCATTGGAGACCCTTCACGTCTCATCGGAGACCCTTCACTTCTACTCGGAGACCCTTCATATCTTATTGAAGACCTGGCCCTACATATCTTCTTAGAGTCCCTCAATATCTCAATGGAGACTCTCCAGTCTCCATATCTCATTGGAGACCCAATTCATATCTCAATGTAGACGCTCAAGTCTCAGGGAGCATATATTTTCATATATATATAACAATATATATATATATATATATATATGAGTATGACTGAAATTGGCAAAAAAAAAACACCGCTTGAGTTTTGCGTGAGATTGTGTACATCTTGGTTTGTGGTGATACGTATGTTTATAATTTAAATGTCTATGCATCTTATTTCAATTTTATCAAATTTTATCCAAAAAATGTAAAAAAGACATAATACTTTGATAATAATTGAATTCTAGTTTGATGTTCTCTGTACTGAATAGAGAGAGATATGAAAACCTAATCTCCAGAGATAAATTCCTTAAATGGAATCAAAGGTTTCTTTGTTGGGCTTCCCTTCCAACTCTTTGAAGTTTGTTTCTACAATATTCTGAAAACCAGGGATTCATAAGCTCACATTCCACCCTTTTATCTCATAAATAGAACTTATAACAAAAACTTTCAGAACGTATATTTTATCGACAACACAAAAACTACATAAATATCTCAAATTTATACTTTATAATCTTCAAAGATTTTGATATTTTTCCTCAATATTTAAAACTGTCAGAGTCAAAAAAAAATTCATTGAAATTTTTTTTTCAAATTAAATGTTACATGGAGGCTTTACTGACAATCAATTTTTAATCATTGTTCTAAAATAGACTGTACACGATATTTTAAGTGAAGTTTCATTAAAAAAAGTGGAGCATGTCCTATTCACAACAGTACCTTTTAAGCCCTTTTCAACCAATGAGGAAGATACCGTCTTTGCAGCATAAATCCGTTTTAAAAGAGAGACCTTAATGGAAAATAATCTACATGAATTTCGTTAACAGTGCATTTAAAGACGAGAAGCATCAATTCAATCTTTACTCTACACATTTAAACAGTTTTTTTTTAATCTGCATTCATTGGTAGGTGAAGACACTGAAGACAGCTTTCTATTTAAATTTGGATTTATGTCAAGCTGTTAAGCATAGTAAACATAGAAGCCAAGAGAAGCTGCCAATTAAAAAAGCTTCTCTTGTAAACTTGAAATTCTAAAAAAACTTGTAAGAGTCTAAACTAAAATAAAAATGTCGTCTTCATTGTATTTATATAATTGGCTGTCAATGTAGCAAAACAAAGCTGAAAGGATAAGAATTGTCTTCAACATTATCTAACATAGAGAATATTTTCAAATAAACATTTTTTACATATCATAATTGAAGTTTGACTTTTTTATCTAATTGATATCCTTAGAACTGAAGATTTATCTAATTGATATCCTTCGAACTGAAGGTTTATCTAATTGAAATCCTTAGAACTGAAGGTTTATCTAATTGAAATCCTTTGAATTGAAGGTTTATCTAATTGATATCCTTAGAACTGATGGTTTATCTAATTGACATCCTTGGAACTGATGGTTTATCTAATTGAAATCCTTAGAACTGATGGTTTATCTAATTGATATCCTTAGAACTGAAGGTTTATCTAATTGATATCCTTAGAACTGATGGTTTATCTAATTGAAATCCTTAGAACTGAAGATTTATCTAATTGATATCCTTAAAACTGAAGGTTTATCTAATTGATATCCTTAGAACTGATGGTTTATCTAATTGAAATCTTTATAACTGAAGATTTATCTAATTGATATCCTTAGAACTGAAGGTTTATCTTATTGATATCCTTAGAACTGAAGGTTTATCTAATTGAAATCCTAAGAACTGAGGGTTTATCTAATTGAAATCCTTAGAATTGAAGGTTTATCTAATTGAAATCCTAAGAACTGAAGGTTTATCTAATTGAAATCCTTAGAACTGAAGGTTTATCTAATTGAAATCCTTAGAACTGAAGGTTTATCTAATTGAAATCCTTAGAACTGATGGTTTATCTAATTAATATCCTTAGAACTGATGGTTTATCTAATTGATATCATTAGAACTGATGGTTTATCTGATTGATATCCTTAGAACTGATGGTTTATCTAATTGATATCCTTAGAACTGATGGTTTATCTAATTGATATCCTTAGAACTGATGGTTTATCTAATTGATATCCTTAGAACTGAAGGTTTATCTAATTAAAATCCTTAGAACTGATGGTTTATCTAATTGAAATCCTAAGAACTGAAGGTTTATATAATTGATATCCTTAGAACTGATGGTTTATCTAATTAAAATCCTTAGAACTGAAGGTTTATATTATTTATATCGTTAGAACTGAGGGTCCACTCAAACAGAAATATTTTTTTATGTATCAACACCAAATATGGTTTGTACCAATATGCAATATCAACACCAAATATGGTCTGTACCAATATACAATATCAACACCAAATATGGTCTGTACCAATATGCAATATCAACACCAAATGTGGTCTGTACCAATATGCAATATCAACACCAAATATGGTCTGTACCAATATCCAATATCAACACCAAATATGGTCTGTACCAATATGCAATATCAACACCAAATGTGGTCTGTACCAATATACAATATCAACACCAAATATGGTCTGTACCAATATACAATATCAACACCAAGTATGGTCTGTACCAATATCCAATATCAACACCAAGTTTGGTCTGTACCAATATCCAATATCAACACCAAATATGGTCTGTACCAATATGCAATATCAACACCAAATATGGTCTGTACCAATATACAATATCAGCACCAAATATGGTCTGTACCAATATACAATATCAACACCAAATATGGTCTGTATTAATATGCAATATCAACACCAAATATGGTCTGTACCAATATGCAATATCAACACCAAATATGGTCTGCACCAATATACATGTCAACACCAAATGTGCTCTGTATCAATATGCAATATCAACACCAAATATGGTCTCTATCAATATGCAATATCAAGACCAAACGTAAATCTTTTGAAAAATGAAAAATGTAAAATATTTAGATTTCTGATTTTCTGTTGACTGGTGAGAGTTATATCGTGTTAAAAGACGACACTTTATATATTAGGTAAATACTTCTTTTCAACACAGTAGCTTAACCTTTTTAAAATAAAAAAAAACTTTATTCTCGTTACATTACTTAGGTTTATATCCTCCCTAAAAATAATTCCAAGAGGCTAAAACTTTTGGTTCGGAGAGCGTTTAGCCATATCAATTTAACTTAATATACACAACATGAACTGAGCTCGTTTTTAACAGATTAAAAATTTCAAAAATATCATATATAAATTTTTATTTATCATTCGCTAATTTCTATAACACCAAAAATGCAAAAATATTGATATTTTATTTGAGAAATACTCAAATTAAGGTTTGTAGGATTCTATGCATTTTGATTTGTGATTTGTGGAGTTTTTAGCTTAAAGCACGTTAAGACAAGTTACATAAGGAATACTAAGACAAGGGTAATTATAAACAATTTTTTTAAACTGCCTTATGATTTGATTTTCGTATTTTATTTGAATTTTGTTCTGTTTCATCAATTACCCTTTTACAAGATGAAAAGTTCTCTATAATATTTCATAAAGTAGAAGGGGAAGAGAATTAATCATCAGTCAAGTTAGATTTTAAAATTTGTTTCAATTTGAAGTTTGAAGTGGAGGGGGGGGAGGCAGGCCAGGGTAACAGACATTTTTATATTTTGATTTCATTTTTCGTTGTATTTTTGTTGAATATTAGATAATAGTGTGGTTTTTCTTCATTTTGTTCAGTATCTTCTTTTGTTCTGTTTCATATTCTATCATTTTTCTTCCTTTGTTTCTGTCTTTTCCTGTGCTGTTTCTTATTCTGTTCTGTTTCTTATTTTTTTCTGTTTCTTCTTTTGTTCTGTTTCTTATTTTGTTCTGTTTCTTATTTTGTTCTGTTTCTTATTTTGTTCTGTTTCTTATTTTGTTCTGTTCCTTATTTTGTTCTGTTTCTTCTTTTGTTCTGTTTTTATTTTGTTCTGTTTTGTATTTTGTGCTATTTCTTCTTTGTTCTGTTTCTTATTTTGTTCTGTTTCATGTTTTGTGCTATTTCTTCTTTTCCTCTGCTTCTTATTTTGTTCTGTTTTATATCTTGATCTTGTGCTGTTTCTTCATTGTGCTGTTTCTTATTTTGTTCTGATTCTTCGTTTATGCTGAAATGCCCCTGAAGGCTTCAAATTGACTGAAAGGTTAGATTTGAAAGGAATTTCTGAATATTTCTTGAGAGAGAGGAAAATTTGGATCTGAAATTGGAAATATGAAATCAGATTCTAGGATTATTGGAACCAAAGGATTCTTAAAGTACGGGGTTTATCCTTGGCCTGGTAAACTGGTATCATGGTATCCTGGTATCCTGGTATCCTGGTATCCTAGTATCCTTATATTATGGTATCGTGGTATCCTTGTACCATGGTATCCTAGCATCCTGGTATTGTAGTATCCTAGTATCCTGGTATCCTAGTATCCTGGTATCCTAGTATCCTGGTATCCTAGTATCCTGGTATTATGGTATCCTGGTATCCTGGTATCCTTTTATCCTGGTATCCTAGAATCCTTTTATCTTGGTATCCTGGTATCCTGGTATCTTAGAATCCTGGTTTCCTGGTAACCTACTATCTTAGAATCCTGGTATCCTGGAAAGCCTGTATCCTGGTATTCTGGTATCCTGGTATCCCGTGGTATCCTGTATCCTATATCCTGTATTCTAGAGAGTTCCAGCTCCTGATGACGGATAACGATCTCCAAGTGAACCTGGAGAACCTCATGGGAAACGGTTTAGGGATGTTCCTTCTTTCCTTACATTAATATCAAAGTTTTGCACCGTCATGTTGTAAAGATTTAGGATTTGAAAAATTTGAGTTTGTTGCAAAATCTCAGCTCCTTTTGATTTTGATGAATTAAATTAGTGTTCACTTGGAAAACTTTCGAATCAGAGTTTTAATAAAAAACTATTCCATCTTTTTTGATCGCCATAAGGTAGAGGGGGGGGGGGATAATGTAGATAAGGGACATCTAGGGATTGGAAAAAATAAACATCTAGTTGGAGCTGTAGCTAACAGTCTTCTATCCAGTGTAGGAGAGGATATTCTCTTCAATAACAGGTAGTTACAGTACAGTACAGGTAGGTACAGTACAGTACAGGTAGTTACAGTACAGTACAGGTAGGTACAGTACAGTACAGGTAGGTACAGAGACAAAACTTAAGACAGTGTATCGTTATGAAAACCAGTTTTGAAACTCGGGTTTCACGAAGGGGTTTTAGCAGTTTTGTGGATATCAACATTTTTGTTATTTTATTTAGTTTCTTCATATTCTCCATTTTTCCGATTCTCTTAGATCAAAATCTACACAAGTGTTAAGACCCCAAAAATGAACTCGGTAGTTACGTTCAACGATACTTTTTTAATTTTCGGACTCAGTACAGTACAGTACAGGTAGGTACAGTACAGTACAGGTAGGTACAGTAGAGTACAGGTAGGTACATTACAGTACAGGTAGGTACAATACAGTACAGGTAGGTACAGTACTATACAGGTAGTTACAGTACATTACAGGTAGTACAAGTATATTACAGGTGGGTATTTCATTTCATTACAGGTAATTAAAGTACAATGAAGAGAGGTACAGTACTGTATATCACAAGAATATAAATTCTACAGTACATAAAATTATACAGAAAGCAAATTGCGAATTTTATTTATTCATATTTTTATTCATAATATTAATCTGGAAATCTTTCTTTTTTCTAATATTTTTTGGGCTGCTGTTACACTATTGTTATAATTAAGTAATTATGTATTTATTGTCATTATTATTTTGATTTAATTGTTTATATTTAGAAACCTGCTAGAGGCTATAGCTAGAAATAACTGGATGATGCATGTCGACAATTTTCTGTCTTTCTAGAAGAAGATTTAAAACAAAATTTCTGAATTTCACTGATAAAAAAGAAAGAATTTTTTTGGAAAAATAACATTTTTTAAAATTATTAAAGAATTTATTTACTTAAAAACTGTGATATGTTTGCAGAATAAATTTAAAATATAAATATGAAAGTAAAAATATTTGTATAATGCTTATTTGTACAAGAAGATGAAAAAAGATTTTTATTGTCTTCTTCCCGTGAAGAAAAATATTTCTATCAAAATTTAACATAATTTTCATCTCAAAATTCGTTATGCCCACTGTGAACAATACAGAATGAGAAGGTCAAATTTATACGACTTTACTGGTACGATTGTTTGACCTCTTAGCTCCCCTAATTTTGATTTTAACTGTGAGATTAGCAATCCGGCTATTTATTATAAATCCAAAACGTGTTCGTTCTTTGTCTTAATAGCTTTCTAATATTATGAGTTATGATTGAAAATATATAATCTATGGAATATATTTGTGGGTCAGCCTGTATATCTACAGAATATATTTGTGGCTCAGTCTGTATATCTATGGAGTATATTTGTGGGAGAGCCTGTATATCCATGGAATATATTTGTGGGTCAGCCTGTAAATCTATGGAATACATTTGTGGGTCAGTCTGTATATCTATGGAATATATTTATGGGTCAGCCTGTATATCTATGGAATATATTTATGGGTCAGCCTGTATATCTATGAAATATATTTATGGGTCAGCCTGTATATCTATGGAATATATTTATGGGTCAGCCTCTATATCTATGGAGTATATTTGTGGGTCAGCCTGTATATCTATGGAATATATTGTGAGTCAGCCTGTATATCAATGGAATATATTTGTGAGTCAGCCTGTATATTTATGGAATATATTTGTGGGTCAGCTTGTAAATCTGAAGAATATATTTGGAGTATGATAAATGAAAGTAGGAAGTAAAGTCTACTAGAAGATTGATTATATAATCCAACAGACAATTCATTTCTTTTTTTAATCATTCAAACTTCTCTCAAGATTATATTAAAGATTATAGAGAACTTTACTTTAATAAAGATTATAGAGAACTTTACTTTGAGTAAGATTATAGAGAAAACTATATTATATTAAAGATTATAGTAAGAACTTTATTATACTTGGCTTTTAGGGTGCTTCGTGCCCATCTTCTATTTCAAATGTGACCATTTTATGTTTGTAGACATTATATTTTTTTGGGGCCATTGGAGTACCAAAAAAAAAATACAAATTTTCAAAAAATATTGAAAAAAACTCCATACAGGAGAGTTGCACAAAAAAGGTACAATTTTGCACCAGGCGCCGCAAATCTTTATATTTAAGAATTCATTAAAGATTTTATTCATTCTATAAAGAAATACCAATATTTATTAAAACATGAAATATTATTATTTATCCCTGTATCTAGCAGCTACCTACACTGTTTAATGATTGATGCTGAAGCTGCGATATAAATAGTATCTGTGTACTATAACGAGTACCTGGAGAAGATATGGACTAATGAGTCCTAACCCTAAATTAGTAATCCTCAATTAGGGAGATAATAGACAAGATATATTCTTGAAGGAATACTTATATTAATATTATACAAACGACAAAATATTACACATCAATGATCAGATAAAGGTTTAAAGAGTATCATTGTGAATTGGGATTGTCTCTCTTTAAATAAAAGTTTCCTAGATGTCGCTTTAAACATATTTCCTTACGATCTGAATCTAGGACTGGTGAGTTAATTAAATTGATCCATTTCGTGTTTTTTCAAAGTTTTATTAATACTGTGCTTTCACATTGCACAAATGTACATTTGAAACAATTACGTAAAAATACGTTTCGTATCGGCACTTTTGGAAATTCTTAGCCTAAAAATTTTAAAATTTTGGTTTGGGTGTGATTTTAAAATAATAAAACGTGATCATCATATTGCATCGGATATGAAATGTGTATATATTGCAGATTGATATTTGGGAAAATGTTAAGGATTAAGAAAAGCGTGTCAAAAAATAACATAAAGGAATTGAGTTTTTGCTACAAACTCAAATTATCTAATCCCTACATCTTTGTAAGCCAATGTCGTAGACCTTTGATATTTCAAACTATGAATTCTGTTAGATCAAATAATCTAAATTTTAAATATCAAAAGTTTATACCATCAGGTTTCAAATATATAGGAAACAGATGATTTGAGTTTGTGGCAAAAACTCAATTCCTTTGTGTTGCTCTCTCTCTCTCACAGATCTTTTTGGCATTTTATTTGGGGAGCATCTAATTCACATTGCAAGATGTATTAAACAGTCTTTGAAACTACACGAAATGTCATATTAATATTTATAGTTGGTTTCTATTACCTTTTATAACAAGAGAAAGATCTTTAATACCGTTCTTCAATGGTATCCAATATCGGAAATTAATTATTAAAGAAAAGAAATGGACTCCTAGGATGTTTTTATGCATTGCCCAGTCCTGTGTTTGTTAAAGGGACTGTCTACGTCATTTCAAGTGACCCTCTATTAAAAGAGTGGTAATAGGTCTGATTCACAATTCGATACCCTTTGCATATTTGTTGTTCAAGAAGGAATGAAACATCCTTATTTTTTCACGAGAACATGAAGGAAAATGTTTAAAGGTATCAGCGTGAATCAAGCATGCCACTCTATAAATGGACGCATCACTTGAAATTACGTCTACAGTCTCTTTAAAAGATATAAGACACGGAGCCCCCTGAATTTCTTGTTTTCAGTATTCCCAGAATACGAAAATAATAAGAATTTATGAGGTTTTATTTGTGTCGAGGTAACTTTAACTCGTTTAGTTCTATCAATCTTAGTAAAAGTTGTAACAAGGCTGAGAATTATAAAGTTAGATCCTCTCATATATCTTCCTTTTCCACCTTATACTATATACATACTAAAACCTTACAAAATAATGCCATCCAAAAAAAATCAAAATTGTCCAAACGGTAATAATCCAACAATTTAATATCGGGGAAAATGGAATTTTGAAAAAATTTAAAATTTAATAAGCTTACGAAAACTCTGAAAAAAAACATCAAAAAAGGTTAAAGCAATTTTTTCGGCTACACTCCGCCATTTTATATCTCATCATTATTATGCTGAACCGAGTGGAGCTCATGTGAAAACATCCTGGGGTATCTTATAGGTCCCCTGCCATAATACAAATTTATGTCTGGTCTATATTTTAATATGTATGCTGTAAAATTGTGGCTTGATTTGATTTGATATACATTTCATATAAACTAGATTTGGCTTGTTTACATGAGAGGGATGGGAGAGACGACACGAAGGAAGGTTGGATGAAAAGGATGAAATTAATGTCACAAATGGGCAGGATGGAAGGAATGAGATTTTTGACAAATTGGGCCTTTTGGAAAATTTTTGAAGACCCAGGTAGAGATAAGGGCGAGGAGAAGGAGAAAGAAGAATATTTTATCTTTTAATTAATGTTTGAGTTGAATACTGAGAAGCTGTCTAACGTTAAAGAGGTCTGAAACGTCCTCTGCTCCCTGTCTTGTGTCTATGAAGTGGAATAAAGTTCTCTTCAATTAATTGTCTCTCAGGTTCAGTTTTCCTCTTCTCCAGTCTTTGATCTTCTCAATCCTCTCTCCAGGTTTAAACCTTAACCTTGTGAATACAACCTAGAGAATACAACCTGGAGAATACAACCTAGAGAATGCAACATGGAGCATACAACCTGGAGCATAAAACTTGGAGAATACAACCTGGAGAATACAACCTAGAGAATACAACCTAAAGAATGCAACCTGGAGCATACAACTTGGAGAGTACAACTTGGAGAATACAACCTGCAGAATACAACCTGGAGAATACAACCTGGAGAATACAACCTGCAGAATACAACCTAGAGAATACAACCTGGAGAATACAACCTGGAGAATACAACCTGGAGAATACAACCTGGAGCATACAACCTGGAGAATACATTCTAGAGAATGCAACCTGGAGAATACAACCTGGAGAAAACAACCTGGAGAATACAACCTGGAGAATACAACCTGAAGAATACAACCTAAAGAATAGAACCTGGAGAATATTATCTTAGAGAATACAACCTATAGAATACAACCTATAGAATACAACCTGAAGAATACAACCTGGAGAATACTACCTAGAAAATAAAGCATGGAGAAAACAAAATCATCGAAAAAAATACAAATATATTAAAAGTAAAATACTAAAAAAGAAGATATATATACATACATTTATATTTCCTACTTTACTGATTACAGTATTAAATATTTATACAAAGAGAAGTAAATACACTTTCAACTTTTACTAAGTTAAAGTAACACCATTAGTTAGACCTGGACACAAAGATCCAGACTGCTGTAAAAAGTTGCATCAATGTTCAAGACTAGGGCGGCTTTGAAGTGTCGCAACGTCTGGCGTTCATTTTTCCACACTCTCACTTCTAAATTGTAGAACTAGACTTGCGCATGCTATAAACCTAAAGCATTTGTTTATAATTTAGTATTTAAGAAGAAATTCTCATTGATCTTAGCGTAAGTGCTTACAACCTTGACTTCCGTTTGTATAATTGGATATTAAGCTGATTTACAAAGGTTTCTTTAAACCCTTTATCTGATCCAGGGTGACGGAGATATTTTTATTTTTCTACCTGAAAATGTGCGCCTTCGAGAATCATGTGACATCATTAGCTTGAAATGAAAATAACCTACAATGTTCGGTTAACTCAAGTTTCCTGACAATCAGTTTACTGCCAAATAATAAGGATCTCATCGTTATTCAAACAAAGGTTCAAAGGGTACTGTTGTGTATTGAACATGTCACTCAAGTGTAGGATCCCTTATGTCTACAACCCCTTCAACAAACCAAGATATTGTTTAAATAAAGGTTCAAAGGGTACTGTTGTGTATTGAACATGTCACTCAAGTGTAGGATCCCTTATGTCTACAATCCCTTCAACAAACCAAGATATTGTTCAAATAAAGGTTCAAAG